GAGTCATTGGAAGAACAGTACAGGGAATCCAGTAGCAGATCTCAGACTGTTTCAGCTCCTGGATCACGACTTCCGTCACCGAATAAGGCATCTGTTATATCATCCTCTGCATCTAGAGGAGTCAGTCCATCTCGAACAAGATCAGTCCCAAGTACACCATCTAGAGGGCCAAGTCCTTCTCGGATAAGACCATCTAGTCCATCTAGACAACCCAAAACTTCTACTTCTGTCCTCAGCTTTATTGCAGATATTAAAAAGGGGAAGAAGACAGCTAACCACATAGAAGATGTTCATCAGCTGAGGTTATTGTATAATAGACATCTCCAATGGCGGTATGCTAATGCCAGGTCAGATGCAGCATTGCACGCGCAGAAACTTCAAACAGAGGTTTGGTTATTTCCCTTGCGAAGCTTCATTGTGTGCCTTTAGACTTATTTCTTTAGTTACCTTATAATCATTAAAAAAAATTCCATGTACCTCTCGGAGTTCTCTTCTTCTAAATTGGTTAATGGTGATCTTATGCATGGAAATGTTCATTTGGTTCCTGAGAAGTACTGCATGACAGGAAAATCTATTGAAAATGTCTGCGGTATGGACATTGTTTGGATTAGTAATACAGAAGGGGAAAGATTATAATTAATGAACTTTTGATCACAAGCAGCAGGTTAAAACCCTTTTTTTATGATAGTATAGAAAAATTGGCATTCGCTTATCTTACTAATATTGGCTTCTTACTTTCTAATTTATTATTTAATTATGTTTTGTGGGGTTGGAATCATGGACTGATATCTTTGTGGCTTGATGTTCTCTGGGAGCTTTCTGATATTTCCCCATCATATAACCGACTTGGTTGCGTTTTTGCTGATTTAACTGACAGTTTTAATTTCCGCCTGTGCAGAAAACATTGTACAATGTCTGGAGGAATACGTCGGATTTATGGGCTTCTGTTATTAAAAAGAGAACTGCACTCCAACAGCTGAAGCTGAAGTTGAAACTTTTTGCAGTCTTAAATGAACAGGTAATGTATCTTTATAACATATGATTCGAATATCATCCCTGGTGTTTTAATCTTTCTGTTTTTAGTATTTTCCAGAAAAATCTGTGGATTGTAGATTTCTTGAACTTCCTTATCATAGGATGATCCAGTTCGAAATGAAGATTTGAGTCTAGACCACATCTTTTGTCTTTTCTCGTCTGTGTAAGGGATTTAATATAGGCAATTATTGGCTTGTGGTTGAAGTTTGTAGTGATGGAAAGCAGGAATTTCACTGTAGAATTCCATGAATTTTTCTCTGGCTTAGCTCAAATCATTGAACACTATATGAATGTAGTCTCCTTTTCGTGATGAGTTTCTCCTCATAATTGAACTATTAGGTATGAGTAGGACGCAGTCACTTGTTAGCCAGAAGAATGTACCATTTTTAGGTACTATATGATATCTTCCTGTTATCTGGAACCTAACACCCATAAAATGCTTGAGGTTTGATATGAATATGTGAATTTAGATATCTTCTGTTGAATAGTGAAAGCTTTTAAACCTAGAATTTTGAGCTTGATTTTTTCTTACAGAAACAGTCTGTAGTCAGGTCTTACCTTTAACTGTTCCAGACTTCTTCCTAGTTCCTTTCCTTATGCTGATTTGACTTCTCTGTATCTGGATATAGTTTGAAAATCAGGGTTCAGAAGAACGGTATGTAACTATATCATTTTTTCTTTTAGGGAGGGGGGTTGAAGGAGAGGGGAGTAAGAAGTTTTTGTAGCATAACTGATGTTAAAACTCACATTCATTTGTTCAGTAGACAATCTGATTTCTATTTAGATCTTTACTGTAGATGTGGCGTTATTGTTTAAACTGATTTTTTTTCTGGAAATGATTGGTTCAGCTCACCTACCTCGATGAGTGGGCTTCAATTGAAAGGGATCATACCAGTTCAGTATCCCATGCTATACAAGATCTACAGGCATGCACTCTCCGTCTTCCAATAATTGGACGAGCAAAGGTATGCAACTTGATACTTAGTGTTTTGAGATCAATGATTCCTAAGACAGAGTCTTATTCGAGTTGGCTCTTTTACAGGGTGATATTGAAAGTGTTAAGGAAGCTGTTTGCTCAGCTGTTGATGTAATGCAGGCAATGGGATCCTCCATGCGTTTTATATTGTCTAGGGTAAGTTCTTATATTATTTTAAGTTCTATTTTTTCTTGTTCTTTCTTACCATTAATTTACTTTCCGTTTCTCTAGTGTTTAAGTAACATAAAATGCAATAGCAAATTGGACCAGTGTTGTCTTTTACTATCAGGCTTTGTACAATCCACAATTGTTGTTTGAGATAAGGGGAGTGAGAGAGCTGATATTAGAGAGATAGAAAAGTCATTAGCATATAGTTTTCTGTAACAGAGCCGGTAGCTACGTTCTGCTAGAATTATTTTAGTTTGTTGATCAGCAGAAGTTGCAACTTTGACTGTTTGACAAATGTAAAGATTCTCTTTGCACATTTTCTATTAGTGTTATACCGAGCATCGATTTTCAAAAATAATATTGATTTGACAGAATGAATGATATGCATCTCGGAAAATTTTTGAAGATTCTCTCGCTATTTTTTTCTTTTAACTTTCTTGCTATTCAAGATATGTTGCAGATGGAAAAGTAAACTATAGATGAACACTACAATGCTCTAGAATTAGGCTTAAAATTCTTATGCTTAGGCTTCTAGATTGCCTTTGGCCTTTACTGACAGTTAGAAACTCTTAATTGCCAAAATCCACCTAAAAAGTAGATTTTGTTTCTTGTGTAAGATAGCCTCAACTGAAGTACTAAAAGGAGAATGTCAAACAATCTATGGTATCTTGATTGCTGAGAACTTCATAATTTTGTCTGCACTGTACTTTTTTTTTCTTTTGTGGTAAAATTGTTTCAGACAATTTTCCTAATTTTTGCACTCTGCACTTTTGCAGGTGGAAGGGATGAACTGCCTGGTTTCTGAACTTGCTGATGTGGCAGCTCAAGAGCGAGCCATGCTGGACGAATGCGAAGCCCTATTGTCTTCAACAGCGGCTATGCAGGTGAGAAAAAAATGTGGCCTCATAAAGTTATTGCCTTCATTATAGAATCTCTGCAGCTACTCCTTAGTCTTCCTGTCGTATTCCCTTCTCCATTTAATGGCTTTGTCATAGTTCAACTCAGTTGATTTATCACTTAGCTTGACCTCTCTCAATAATTGTTATCATCTCCCATATCCATATAGTGATCTTCTAGTTCTGTCATTAGGACTGAGATTACTTGTTGCTTTACTTCAGATTCTTTCTTCATTCGTTGCTGTTAGGATGACAATTTAAGGTCGGCATTGATCAGCATTAGTTTTTACCCAGCAATGAAAACTCATGGTTCTAGCAACCAACAAAATTTGCAGTATCTATTATAGAAACTCGAAAATTAAAGTCCCACCATGTCTAGCTTAAATGTCTTAGGAGGTTATCTCAGTGTTTAGGGCAGCACGGTGAACTAAGCTCCCGCTATGCACAGGGTCCGGGGAAGGGCCGGACCACAAGGGTCTATTTAAGGTCGGCATTGATCAGCATTAGTTTTTGCCCAGCAATGAAAATTCCTGGTTCTAGCAACCAACAAAATGTGCAGTATGTATTATAGAAACTCAAAAAGTAAAGTCCCACCATGTCTAGCTTAAACGTCTTAGGAGGTTAGCTCAGTGTTTAGGGCAGTCTGGTGCACTAAGCTCCCGCTATGCGCAGGGTCTGGGGAAGGGCCGGACCACAAGGGTCTATTGTACGCAGTCTTAACCCGGATTTCTGCAAGAGGCTGTTTCCACGGTTTGAACCCGTGACCTCCTGGTCACATGGCAACAACTTTACCAGTTACACCAAGGTTATCTAAGTATTCGATAGTACATATAGTTCATGTAAGGAGGGTTTGTCATCTTCATTCTAAGCCTGCGCTAATTCATTTTCCATCTCTGTTCCAAATACATTACACGACGGACGGAATAGCGTGTACATTTTGATGTTCCATGTCCGATGAACTTGATTATCTAATGCGATTACTTGACAATAATGCAGGTAGAAGAATATAGCATTAGGTCTCATCTTATACAATTGAAACAAGCTTGGAGAAGTGATGAGCAGCTGATACTTGGGAATTAGATAGCTTTTACCAAATGCTTCTCAAATGCAATTCTAACCAACTCTTCCTCGTCAAATGAAGAATATGCCACATCTCCAGCCTTAGCTAGTGTGTATAGTAATAGGTTTTTTTTTCTCATTCTTTTTTTTTTCCTTCTAATTTATCATGGGAAATCTTGAATTATTCCATTCTTTTTTCTTTTTCTCTCTTTTTTTCTTCTCCACATATCTTGCAAAAAGCCGTCGTCCTTATCCTAATGTAACTTTTTGTATCATCAACAAAAAAAGAAATGCAAAGGAAGAACAAGATTCAAAATTAGTTATAGAAAAGAAGCAAACTTACCAAAGATCATCTTACGTTCTTAAAGTTTTCCTTAAACTCAAAGTTTTCTATTTATTCATTTACATACAAACAAATTTGACAATCATTTTTTCTATTGATCACTTAAGATTGGGATTGGAAATCATAAATAGAGAGCAAGTGACCATTGCTAAAGAAGATGACTCACTTTGACATAATATGATTTGAGTCCATTTCTGTTCATTTATCGAATCATTGACAGCTCTATGCATATTTTGCTTTAAAATTTTTGGAAAAGCATTCAAATTTGTCCTTATGTTATTCGAAATTTGCTCAAATTTGCCATTTATTGGTCTTTAAGTTCATTGATACCGTTGCTTTTAGTAAATGTTTAGTATTTACGCCATTCAGAGACTTTTACTCCCTCCGTCTCATATTATTTGTCATGATTCTCTGGTACACGCCCCTCAAAAAATAGTTAATTAAGATGAGATTTTGACTACTTCCTTATTCATGTCTTAATATTTAATCTTTCTTCATTTGTATTTGGACAAAATTATCCATAAGTGAGGTATTTGTAGTCTTCAAGGATAATTATTACTAAGGAAAAAAAGGAAAAAGTTGTCAATTTTGTCTTGAACTTCTGAAGGACAAATAATTTGAGACAACTATTTTTAGTAATCACGATTGATAATATGAGACAGAGGAGTATGTTTGTGTTTACCAAACAGATATACTAAATTGGGAAAATTTAAGTAGATTGTTCAAATGTGTGCAATTAGGAGGCATCAAATAACAATAACATAACAAAGGGCATTTTAATTTGTTTAAAGAACTAGAAAATCTCCAATTCATAGGTCAGTAAAACAAATCCTTCGGGGATCATTCACAAAGTTCCAAAACAACCTTAGCAATTTAGCTTATACAAAGGTTAAAAGTAGTTTATGCAACAGCCTCAGCTTGCTATCTTGGATCAATAATCTGACTGGACTTATTCCTAAATTTCCAGCCAGAACTTTCATGTATGTGTTCTCCTCCTAATTCTTACTATGTTACATTAAACATGTGTGTGTGTATATATATATATATATATATATATATATATATATATATATATATATATATATATATATATATATATATATATATTATNGTCCATCTGATTCACGTCCGGTACCAACTGATACCGCATTGTACTGCGTTCCTAGTATAAAAACAAGGTCATCAAGAAATAGAACAACAGATTTAAGTGATTTGGCTAAGCGACTAACGGCTATGAGATTAAAAGGACTACCAGGAACATAAAGAACTGAGTCTAAAGGTAAGGAAGGAAGTAGACTTGCTTGACCTATTGCAGTTGCCATGGCTTGAGACCCATTGGCCATTGTGACTGTTGGAAGAGATTCAGAATATGAGATACTAGTGAAAAGAGATTTGTTACCAGAAATATGATCAGATGCACCTGAATCAATGACCCAAGACTCAGAAGGTGAAGATTGAGAGACACCGGTCATGCTACTATTTGTTGGAACGACGGAGGTTAATCCTGAAGATGTCTGTTTACGTGCTTTGTACTGAAGGAACTCAATATAATCTGGTAAAGAAATCATCTGGATTGGATTTATTGCATTTAATCCAACAGATTTTGAGGTAAAGGCTTCAGGTAATGATTCCATTATAATATTGTGCCGGAAAAAAAAAGCAGAAAATTGCTGGATCACTGTTCACGCCGGAAAAATCACTGTAGCTCGCCGGAAAATTCCAAAGTTGTCAGAATCTGATGTAAACTTGATGGGTAGGCTCGGAAAAACACGAAGAACACACTTTCCAAAAGAAACTTTTTGAAATTCTGGCCGGAACAGCCCTCACGCGCCGGCGCGTGAGACAGACGCGCCGGCGGCGGCAGAGCTCCGGCAAGCGCGTGGGGGCGTGTGGATGAGTGTTTTCAGGTGAACTTTTCTGGGGTTTGGTCGGATCTCTCTTGGGGACCTTTTGGTGGTGTTGGATTTTGCACAACACTGATAATTAGTGACTTTGACGCAATTAGTCACTTAGGTCACCGGAAAATTGCACGGGAGAAAAATATTATTATTGATTAATTAAGACAATGATACACTGAGCCCTATATATACACAATACATGTCCTACTCCTAATACATATGGGATTAGGGTTATCTACTACTATTTACACAATGAAACTAACACATAGCAACATCAAAAGAAGCAAGGTTAGATACAACATGGGGACTGGAAGGATGGAATGTTATTTTCAGGAGGTTTTTGAATGACTGGGAGCTTGAGAGAGCTGTGGAGCTCTACAAGACCTTGGATGTTTTTCAAGGTTTCAGTGATTCTGAAGATACACTGATTTGGAACCTAAACAGGGATGGGAGCGGAACCTCACTGTTAAATATGCTTACTTGGTTGCCTCTCTATGAAAATATGCTCACTAAGCTCAACAATGGAGAAAAGTTCTAGAAAGAACAGAGTATTGGAAGGGAAAGAGAAGAAAATAGCGTGAAAGAGAGAGAAGCAGAGAAAAGAGGAAAAGAGGAATATTCATTTAGCATAATCTCCCCTCTGTTACAGATCGTACAAATACAGCTACGAATGCAAAACTACTACACATGTCCTAGACAATAGAGAACATACAGAAACTTAGATGGACCTAATTGAAATAGAATAAATATCCACTTAAACCATAAATTGGACAAAAGTGTAAAACTTCTAATCTCTAATTAACAACTCAATAACCAACATTTCTAATATCATCTTCACTCATTAAATGCCATCCTCCTTTGAGAACCTTGTCCTCAAGGTTCAAATTGGGGAAACTGGGATTTGATGAAGTTGTAGTCTTCCCATGTTGCTTCCTCAGGCAACAGATTTGCCCATTGCACAAGAACCTGAGTGGCAGCTGCATTTCCTTTCTTCACCATACGCCTGTCCAGAATTGCAATTGGTTCCACTAGAGGTTGTCCATCATGAGAACATATAGAAGGCTCAATGGAAGGAATCTGACCATGCCCCACCCTTTTCTTCAACTGAGAAATGTGAAAAACTGAGTGTATCTTGGATGAAGGGGGTAATTGTAACTCATAAGCTACTGGACTGATCTTCTTAATGATTTGATAAGGACCATAAAATTTGGCTGCTTGCTTCAGACTCTTCCTTACAGCAATTGAGGTTTGCCTATAAGGTTGTAATTTGATGAACACCCAATCTCCAACCATAAACTCCCTTTCTGTTCTGTTCTTGTCTGCATAAAACTTCATTCTGCTTTGAGCTCTTTCTAGGTTCTCTTTCAATAACCTTGCCATCAATTGTCTTTCTTTAATTATTTGATCTACAGCAGCTACTTTGGATTGTGAAATCAACTCAAAAGACAACTGAGGAGGATCATATCCATATACAACTTTGAAAGGGGTCATTTGAGTAGCTGAGTGGTAATTAGAATTATACCAAAACTCAGCTAAAGGAATCCATTTGCTCCACTCCACTGGTTTATGGCTGGTCATACACCTCAAATAATTTTCCAAGCACCTGTTTACTCTCAGTCTGCCCATCTGTTTGTGGGTGATAGGCTGAGTTGTAAACTAACTTAGTTTGCAACAAATTGAAGAGCTCCTTCTAGAAGATACTGAGAAAGACCTTGTCTCTATCAGAAACTATGCTACTAGGTAAGCCATGCAACTTATAGATCTGGTCCAGAAATAATGAAGCTACCTGTACTGCAGTAAAAGGATGAGTTAAAGTTAAGAAATGGGCATATTTGCTATACCTATCAACCACAACCATAATTGTATCTTTCCCTCTTGACTTGGGCAAACCTTCAATGAAATCCATCGATATGTGTTCCCAAGGTCGGGAGGGTATTGGTAGAGGTTGCAATAGACCCGGATATGCCACCTGTTCATTCTTACACCTTTGACATATTTTACAGTTCTTGACCACCTTTTTAACATCTTCCAGTATTGAGGGCCAATAGAACACAGATTTAACTCTATGGAGGGTAGCAGTGATGCCAGAGTGACCTCCCAAATTGGAAGAATGCACATGTTATACCAATTGCTGTCTCAAATTTCCTTGCTTACCGATCCAGACCTTCCCTTTGAATCTAAGGATGCCTTGCTGCAGTGTTACTTCAGTTGAAGCTGCAGGATCAACTGTAAGAGCACAGACTATCTTCGTTACTTCCTCATCCCCTTCATAACTATTCCTGATCTCCTCCATCCATTTTGGTTGCAATTGTATTAACATTTGACAAGCAGAAACAGCTTCTGTTGACATTTGCCTCCTCGAGAGGGCATCTGCTACTGAATTATCAATTCCTTTCTTGTAATGGATCTCAAAACTTAACCCCATCAGCTTGGTCAAGCCTTTATGCTGCAAGGCAGTGGTGATTTTCTGTTCTTGGAGAAACTTAAGGCTAAAATGATCAGTCATTATAATGAAATGACTAGGGGTCAAGTAATGTCTCCATTTGTCGACAGCATGTAATAAGGCAATCAACTCTTTCTCATATGTTGAGAGACCTTGATGCTTTAGGCTTAGTGCCTAACTAAGAAAAGCAATGGGCCTCCTATCTTGCATAAGAACAGCTCCCACACCTATGCCACAAGCATCCACTTCCACCACAAATGGTTTGCTAAAATCAGGTAGGGCTAAAACTGGGGCATTAGTCATTGCCTTCTTGAGTGCCTGAAAAGCTTCAGTAGCTTCATTATTCCAGTGAAAACCCCCTTTCTTCAACAATGTAGTCAAAGGTTTACTAAGTGTAGCATAACCCTTAATAAACCTTCTATAATAACCAGTGAGGCCGAGGAATCCTCTTAACTCTTTGATATTTGTAGGTAGGAGCCAAGTAACCATTGCTGAAATTTTGCTAGGATCTGTACTGACACCTTGACCATTGATAATGTGACCAAGGTACTCTACTTGTGGCTGGGGAAAGTCACATTTAGATCTCTTGGCAAACAGTTCATGTTGCCTCAATAAGTCTAAGACAATCTGCAAGTGTTTCAAGTGTTCATCCAATGATAAACTGT